TGGAGGCGATTCGGAAAGGAACAAAGAGTATGGGATTATGTGTGGTTATAAAATATAGTGCTAAAAACACTATTGTGATATACAATTGGCTATCCTTTTTTATCGAAGCTATTGGAGCACTTTTCATTTTTTTTGTATTATTTTTTTTCTATTGTAGGTATCATAGGGTCTGGAGTAGGCTTCGTATATTAGCGAATTGTCTAGTTTGTGTGTAATAGGATTATTGGGTAGGAAGTGAAACCGATTCAACGTCCGTAACACGATTGAATGAGGTGTTCTGCATGATAAATCAGCATTAGTACCTTAAGTTTGTGACATTCCACCAAACAATAAGGAGCCGTAATTAAACAAAATGTTCTGCCTTACAGACATAGGTGGATTGAAATTATCTACACACCATCGTGTTTGCTGATCAGTAACGTATTTTCCTTCTCCCTGAGAGTACATCAATGGATTAATCAGTTCCAATTTGCTTTAGTCGCTGATATATACATCGTGTAGCCTGTCCCAAAGTATGTGGATTATGCTGAAAATATGATATACCATGCGGTATCTGAACATTCATATCTGATTTCAGAAATTGACTGGCCAGCCAAAAGTCCTGTATAGCCCTTATGACTTCTTTCGCGATTGTTTGCTGTTCGACATATATATGTATTAATCTGCTGCCATCAACACGTGAACCCTATCAGGGATGTCGTTTTTTTGACGACCAAATGTCGAATGTGGAGATCTTAAAGAACGAGGAATAACAACACGATCATTCAAAAACGAAATACCATCAGGAGTTGTAATAATGATTGTAACAAGAAGAAAACTCTGGAAATCCCTCCACAATATTTCGCTGGACAGTATTGCAATTTATTTGTTTCTTCTCCCCGTCGTGTATTTTAACCTCTATTCAGGTCTCTTTTAACTGCACTTTATACTCTTCAGTCTTTCTCGACTGAGCCTTTATTATGTGACTTTGGTTAGGACCTCACCTTTTGTTACTTAGTTTTTTCGTTGCATGTTGTTGGACTGTTGACAATAAGGTCGTGTTTGACCAAACGATGGTCACGGATTGGTTCACTGTGTGATCGCTAACCATTAACTGTCTTCTTGGAAAGATTTCTGAGATCCCTTCTGATAGATATCTGATCCCATTTTGTCAAAAATATTTTTGTCGATTCCCAGGTATTGAACTCCTGTTCATTAACAATTCCTTTGGTTGTTTAGCACGCAAAGTTGTGTTAGGGAAACTCTTGACTTTGTATCATGAGCTATACATATATATGTCGAACAGCAAACAATCGCGAAAGAAGTCATAAGGGCTATACAGGACTTTTGGCTGGCCAGTCAATTTCTGAAATCAGATATGAATGTTCAGATACCGCATGGTATATCATATTTTCAGCAAAATCCACGTTAAGAACGGACGACAGCTTTCGTCGTCAGACTCAATCTATTCATCATCAAGTCCATTCCATTCTGGAAACGCTTCCAATTAATATGATCTGAACTTTCCAATTAGATCCCATGCACATGGTGTACTCAGGTGTCAAAAAACCAGCCAATATACGGATAGAATTAGCACACAAAAGACTATTAAACATGAACTTGTAGAATTATGGTCTACTATGATATTAGTACCGCTCTAATAATAGACCTAATCCTAAAATTGTAGATTTGTCATGATATAACTGCCTAATCTATAAGATCTTACGTGGAAGTCACATCATCGTCTACACCTATTCACTGTATCGTAACAACTACCAATACATGATGAAGATCAAGCTTAGGCTAGAGAAAGAACAATATATTTAATATGAATAAAAGATATAAGGTAATATTAAGCAGAGACCACGCCTGCATGACGGGGCCATTCCATTCGATCAACTCCTATTCATTCAATACATTCTACTTACCTTCTCCATCGTTAGGTATTTCTCCGCGTTAAATATTGAATGTCTATGTTTCCCGAGTTGTCTCGTGTTCAGTTTTGAGGATTGTGTGTTTATGGTCCAATGCCACTACAAACTCATGTGTAATTAGGGATATAAATAATTTAATATCTAGTTGCATGGCAAGTACTCCCCCACACTTTCGGTGTAAATGCTGTAAACTAAACTTCGTATCGGTATGGAAAGCTTCGGAGAGTAGGTTGTTCCTTCTATATTTAGGCCCCGTTATTCTGCAAAATACATTGCCACGACCTTTGTATCTTAATTTCAAGCACTATCCATTTATTTGCTTGCACATCTTAAATTACATACTAGTGTTATAGAACCCCTCAGAATGGATTTAGGGAACTTTCCTAAGGAATATGAACGGTGTTGTGGGTCTGAAAACTTAGATTATAATGTGCATTTGTTTGCAAAGCAAGCAACTTGGCGTTACGCGGAGAAAATGTCCTTCTGCGATGGTCTTCAAGTGACTCCTTCGACTAATACTATCCCAATAACCGGTAGGAAGACCTCAAGTAAACAAGTAATTGTGTATAAGAATAGTAAAATAACTTCATTTGAGCCCGATAATGTTGTAGTACACGGAAAGTCTGGTTTAGTCACTGATATAGGAGAGAACGAACTACTGAAATTTAGGTCTTTCATAGACCCACGCGACTACTCCGAAGATCCTTTCCCTTCCAGAATATAGTAATATCTATGTGCTCGGTAGTTAGCCATGAACACACATGAGTATGAGTTAAAGATACTCACGGTAAATGTATAGCCATCAATTTTATGCATTGCCTGGTTATTGTTCCGTTGTTACATACTTTTATGTGAATGCATTTTGTCTAATTTGTGCTGAAGTCATAATCATAAACCATTTCATTACCTCTTATGTAACGTTTTGCCCGCTATCAAACCATACGTTGTTGCAGACGTACCCAGCAAGAACAACTTATGATAGCAGCCAAGCAGTGGATTGCTGGCAAAGAAATTTGTCTCTGTCCAATGGAGCTTGTCGATATCCACCTGCAAAACTGTGACCAACCAGATGACAACTGGTCAGTTCTGAAATGTAAAGTCATTCACGAATTCAGTGAGTAACAAACACAGAAACTATCACTTACTATAGATAGTTTACAGCTTGAGAAGGACATGTTAGTTTCTTTGCAAAAACTGGGTGTTTATCGTAAAGACAGTTCAACGGACGAAAATACCTTGCCACTAAACACTGAGAAGCCCAAGAGGTCAGTGCAATAATCTTACTAACAATTTCTAAAGGTGCATTCAAGCGTATAGAAGGGTTTTCTTACGATTCCGTTGATATTGATGTAGCCGAGATGCGGGCTGGAAATAGTCACATACAGTTAGATACATCACCGTGTACGTTAGAATCTAAGTATGTAGGCAGTGCGTTCGCGGCCGAGTAAGTCACCTGTACGATCAAGTGGAGTTCTTCGGATTTGATAGATTGCATACTATGCTGCAGAACACATCGTCAGCTATTATTGACTTAAGTGCAAATGTGAAGCTGCTACTGTCGAAGCCTGGTGACTGCGAAAATTCGCATCGATTCGACTGCGGACTATCACTTCAGCAGTTCTTTTTGTCATCTGAAGAAGAAATGCAGATGTTGGACGCCTGTTTACAGCAGAAAGAAACCAGGGACAGATTTGTACGTCAGCAAAATCAGTTTGATAATTCGTCCGTCTACAGATGACCATGTTAACGAGGTTAGTAGATAATAATCCCGAAACCTCAATGCGATATGTTTTGTCGTACCTCATGACACCTGAGGTTGCCAGTAATTTCACGCTATTGGCACTTCGTCAAAACGAGCACTTCAGAAATGCCGGTTTTAAGGCTGCATACGAAGTGACCTATATCTATTATTTAAACTTCAGGTGCATTAATCAATCGATTTTTGTCATCATGTGTCAACGAAAAAGACCTTGCGAAACTGTACGTTATCGCCACACAAGGTTATTTTCACGACGTGAGAGACAAAGTGCAAAAGCGTATTTGAAGAAAACAAGAACACGTATGTACTAATTTAAATTGATAGCTTCCCTAATGCTCTAAAGGTACGGTCTACAGTGTTAACGAACGTAATCGTAAGTAAAGCTTCAAGTAGCCAAAGCATGTCATTCAGATATCGTTGTAACTTTTTTGCTCTTTACACTTCAGAATTTACGAGGAGATTATTTTCATCCTCAATAGCCGAACAGGCGTAACGAAAAGAAGTAATCTGTGGAATATTTTCAATGTTCAACTTATTTTTAAATAAAGATTTTTTAAACATGCGCTTTCTTTCCTACTTACATGGGACAGTTTAACTAAGTGTTCAGAATGTGTGTTCGATTTTCAGTGCACTTGCAATTAAGTACATATGCCTTAGTAATAATACATAACCTTTTTTTCCTTTGCAGATCTTTTCAAATGACTATAAGACTTGGTAATTACAATGAAAACGCATAACGATTGATGCCCAAACTTCTTCCATGTATATAATACACTTTTTCTTTCAATAAATTTTTTTAAACACATACCATTTTTCACGTGGATTGCACTTTGGGAGTGGTGTGTCGTGAGACTAATGACGAACATAGGAGACCTTTGTGGTTATACCAATAGTGTAGCAAAAGTAGATAACTCGGCGCATATTTAGGAGAAAAGTAGACAATTTCGGCATATATTTAAGCGAAAAATACACAATTCAGTGACATTTGACAGAGCGAAAAAAGGGGAAAATCTGCATTATTTCCCCCCACCGACAGGCGAAAAAGCAGACGTTTTGGCACGGTCCCCCATTATTTACCTTTTATTTTCTCACTCATTTTCCCATTTATTTCTTCTTTCTTCGCGTTCATTTCCCCATTATTTGTTGTTTGGGTTGACAATGTGTATACTGGCTTCTGATCATTTCCTTTGACTTATTTTCACTGCCAACCTAACTTCTCAGACTTAATAAACCATAGTGAGTTTCTTATTATTTGTTTTAAATATTTTTTTGACTACATATAGCAAAAAAATAGTTGCTTGATATGACAAGTTGTTTTATAAATCAAAATTATTCTTGAGCAACCATATATTACCAAATAATCTGATCTTGAGAGACCATTTTATTTCACGCCAATATACTTTTAAATGATGAAATTATTAATTGTTTACCAAATATATGAAGAAATGAATGTGTTGCATTAATATTTTTACGAAACCCGCTGAATTTGGAAAACTCAAGGTTAACGGGTTCATGTTGATAATACTACATTATTACTAATCTCGATGGAGAGGCAGAGGTCTTTCGAGGTTCTTCATGTTGATGTAATGTATCTCATAGTTTTAAATATTTTATTTCAGGATGAAACTTTTAACCTAGGTATGTTCAAGCAAAGATCAACATACAGAAGTTCATGGTTCGTACACTTTCTTATTACCTTTTGGTGCTTCGAAGTTTGTGCTTGAGTCCTTTTGTTTCTATTGCAGATTCTTTTGCCGACCCTTATTTTATCCCTTGCCCAAGTCAATATCTTCTGGATAGTTATTTGTTAGACGTTAATGCAGCCCAACAGCTTAGCCTCGTTTAAAATCGTTGAAGAAGTCCATATTGTCTTTTAAATCGCCTGAACATTTCTAAAAACTATGGTCTATTTCCACCATGGAATTCAGTTTGTCAGAAAAAGGTTACGTAATGTTGATGACTTTTCCTACTCGTAAAATGTTGACAATATGAGACCCGGCAACACACTGGTTCATGGCAAATGTGTTCACAGTGAATTCAGAAAACCTTATAATTGTAGTTCCGTTTACGTGAAAATTCTGTCGACTTTAAGTACCAAATATTCACAATGTGCTTAATTTTCTCCGCTGATCAATAAATCAGCTCAGTTTTATAAGACCAATTTATTGACGGCACTGTTACTGTTTTTTTCCCCACCAGATTTTTACAGCTGATATAGTGTGAAGGGTTACCACAGTCTTGGGGTCCTTTTATATCCAAGTGTGCAGTTTCGAACCAAGCAGATTTCGTCACATCCAGCATCCGAGTAAAAGAAGGACGCTTCATTAGCTTCAAATACTGTTAAAAATTAGGAATGTGGTTGTGTGCACTTACAAAAATTCGTTTAGTGTTTATTTGTATAATAACTGTTGCACAAATAATTTGTTTACAGTACATGAAAATTTTTTAGGTTTTGATAAGTAGTAATGATCAATGACTTCCCGACATCTTAGCTCCTATTTATGTTGATATTTCAAAGGGAGTTTATCTACGCAAACAATCACTGTACTATTCTTTTATGCCTTCCTGGAGTCCTTTATATATACCCCAAGAAATGAATGTCTCTTATTCATCTAGTCCTCGAAATTCCAAACGTTGGGCCTTCAGTCCTGCTCGTGAATGCTTAACCTCTGGACCACTGAATTGAGATCCAACGGTGTTAATGTATAATGTCAATCAATCTGCGATACGGCGCAACCATCTTTGATTATCTGATAGGTAACGGCTACACACTCAACACGGTTGAACTCCACTGGTCAAGGTTTCTCACTAGAACTTCGAGAATTCCCTCTCGAAGCTAGCCACTAGTGAGCACATGATAATTGTCAATATAGGGTTGTAGAAATTATTGACTTTCATTGTTCGGTTCACGATTCCAATGAAAATTAACAATCTTAGCAAGCATATACTGATGATTCATGAAAGTTTTAAACCTCAGGTAGACACGGCAAACGTTGTGGGTAACTACTTTGAACTGTGGTTCGTCCGAATTCCCTGTAGTGTGAAATCGGTATCTGCCTACTGTCCTGAGTTATTAAAGTTGTTTTGTGTGTCTTCTTTCGAGACCAATGAGAATCTTCTTTAAAATCATAATAAAAAACAAACCTTGTCCGGAAATAAGGTTACACCAGTTAGCATTTCTGGGGGATCAGTTTTCGAACCCCACAATCAGTATGGGATGTGTTTAACGTACAGTAAATGAAGGAGTGAAATTGGAAATTCCTATATATCAAATAATTCGCGGACATCCCTTGATTCTCAATATTAGGCAGCATATGATGTGAAGCAATAAAGTAACGGTATGATCTATCGTTCAACCTAAAAGCCATGAAAATAAGTTTACGAGAATAAGAAAAATGATACCAAGCGATGGTATCAGAAACAATAGTACCAGAATTGTAAAAAGGTTAACGGGGACGTAGTCAGACTTCCAGCAGGTACCTCAAAAGGGACGATACTTGTGTATTAATTTTTTCCCAAAAACGGCTGATATAGATAGATCTTGTTAATATCTGTCGTGCTGATTTCAGATGTTACCAGATCAGGTTGCTGTCTTGATCCTCATAGTTGATACTTGCTAGAAATGGATGATTATCGAAACATTGTTTCTGAAATGTAAAGCTATAGCCTGATTGTCAAAGTACTCGGCTTAAAAACACTAAGTTGTAAGTTTGAACTAACATGATTTTCGGCAACCAGGTTGCATTTTTGTTCGATAACTAATTTATTTCCCAAATACAGATATCTGTACTTGGTAAATAAGTTTCACTTCTCAGTGGTTCCTAGAACGTCAAAATACTTTTATACGTTTTCCTATGACTTGATCTGTTTCATCGCTTATCAGATCCTCCTCCTAACTACAGGCAAAGGTTTTACATCTTTTGGTAGTTCTTCATAGATCATATCCTCAGTCAGGGGGATAGTAATTGACAGACAAGCAACAACTCGTAATATCAATCTTTCTGAGTTCTCACAGTTTCATTCATTTAGATAGTGTACTGCTTTCAACTTAATCCTATACTTTCACGCGTGAAACCACGAAAATTCGCTGTTGAATCTCTAGATACCTACCAGGTACAGTGGCATGCTTCCACACGTTGGTGAAATAAAGTCAAGTAATGACACGAGTTCTAGGTATAGAATTCAGAAAGACAAAATTATTTAGTAGAATTTTAAATTTACTGATTGATGATATGTTATCCCATAGTTCTAGCATTAAGGTTTCCGACAAGTAGTTTGACTTACTGTGTCATGAAACCACGTTTGGTATTACGTAATCTCAGTTTGTTAACAAGTCTCATATCCCAATGAAGCTAGTGGGGGGTTAGTAAGGTGTCTATGATAAGATAAAGGGAATTAATATTGAACCGGATAAGCCTAAGACCTGCATATGGTTTGTGGAGGATGGGCACTTTATCCCTCCCTAAACAGTAGAGGGGCTATGGCTTGGTGCCCATCACTAGTTACTCATTGTCCATTTAAACACCATTCTGACGGTAGTTCTTTATACTATTAATCATTGGTTACTGGTGGGATCCCTATTGCGTAAACATGAAAGTATTAATTCACTAGTAAATTCTCACTAGAAATATGTACATCCTTTGTTATATTTTAGAGAATGATAGTCTTGTCGAAAGTGTCTACTTGGTTTCTGAGCAAGCTGTTTCTGATGAATCACCTTCTTACACTGAGGTTTCGGAGTCTGACAAGTCAGAAAATTCTCTATCCACATCGACGTTCGATTTCGTCAAACTAGACTGCGACCAAAACCATGCGTAAGTCACATTTCCCCACTGTTTATAAACAGTATTATGAAAAGCGTGCTTGTGCTTGAGGTGTCGATTTCAAAGTTTTCCTTGACTTTATTTTATGTAGTCACTGAACATGTAGCCCCCGAATGCCCTAGTACGGCCGAGAGTGGGGTGAGTCCGCTCTCCCTCTCGAAATACTCTCACACGGCCACCAGTATACAGCCTCTGCCAGGGAAGTCCTACTCATTGCCTTCTCGTGGCGGGGGTGTTGTTTACGAAAATGAGAGGACGAAAAGCGAATGTCCGGCGCTTTAACCGGATTCCAAACCAATGGTGCACATGGGCTCCAGTATCCTGCGGGAACAAATGGCGTATGAACCAATCGTTGGTCACCGGCTACCATGGGACTGCATCTCCTTACGATGCTCCACTGTCTTGTGGGTTAGACCTTTAGGTTAAAGGCTCGGGGAGTGGTCCCCTAAGATAACTACCTGCTTCGGTTTGGGCACCCGGGCAGTATCACAGCCCACACACAAACGATGAACTCTATATCTATGGCAACCACTTTTCTCGCTCCGAAAAACAATCAGTCGATTCAAATAATTATCATTACAATTATTGTCATTATTAATACTATTATTATTATTACTATTATTATTATTATTATTATTATTATTATTATTATTTTCCACATTATTCACCCTCTTTTATACTTATACAGCGGCTCGTCTTTGGTGGAAATCCGACTGTATCTAAACGTTCTCGAGTCACTGCCCGGTTGAAAATTGTATGTTACCATCGAATATGAGTACTGAAGCAGTTTTTCTGAAACCACGTGCACCATTCAAACTGGCTGCCTTCAACGTTCGCACACTTATGCAGGTTGGTCAACAGATAGGGCTGGCTATGTCTTTGGAAAGCCTTATTATTGATGTTTGTTGTCTATCCGAGACCCGTATTCAAGACTCTGGTGAAGTACTACAAACTCGCTCTACATCTGTCACTTCAAAAGGCTTGTTTTACGTGCGCCTATCCGGGGACCCTGTGGCATCTTTGTCTGATCTTGCTGGCGTTGGTGTCGCACTAAGCGCTAGAGCTGAGGCAGCACTAATCGATTGGATCCCCATTAACAGTCGGTTATGTGCTGTTAGATTAGAAAGTTTCATCAAAATGAGAAGAAATCGGCGTGAGAAACGATGTCTTTTCGTCATCTCCGCCCATGCTCCGACAGATTGCAGCCCGGATGCAATCAAGGATGAGTTTTATCACCAGTTATCTGTTCTTCTTCAGAAAGTGCGTTCGACAGTTATTGTAGTACTAGCCGGAGACTTGGATGCTCAGGTCGCGCGTCTAGGCACAGAAGAGAGTCGTTTAGGTGGCCGATGGGGACTCGTTGGTCGCAGGACAGATAACGGGGACCGTCTACTGCAACTGTGCACAGACCACAACCTGTTTCTGGCTAGCACTAACTTTCGGCACAGTCATCGCCGATGTGCCATCTGGCGTCCTCCCTCTGCATCTCAAGCCTGGACTCAGATTGATCACATCGCGATCAGCTACCGCTGGCGTGGTCGTGTAAAAGACTGCCGCTCCTTTTGGAGTACCTATCTGGACTCTGACCATGCCTTGGTCTGCGCCAATCTTGCCTTACTTTTCAGTGGACAACGAAGTGACCGCCATCAACGGATTGATGTTAGCAAGCTGGTTGCAACTTCTGTTGCAAATAAGTATCGAACCGAGCTAGCTTCTAGGCTAGCTACCATTCCACCGAAAAGTATAGATGAGCATTGGTTGCAATTGCATGACGCCATGAAAATGGCGGGTACAGTCAGTTGTGGGTTCGCGAAACGCCCCACTTATAAGCATTGGGTTTCTTCAGGCTCCTTACAACTCATTGAAGCCCGTCGGTCTACTCCGGGTAACCGTGAGTTTGACCATAAACGAAGGATGTTACGTAAGGAAATTGGGCAAAGCTTGCGTAAGGACCGAGAAGCCTGGTGGTCGAAGCGTGCTAATGAGCTGGAAGCAGCAGCTGCATCTGGTAACTACCGGAAGCTCTTCCAGCTCATCCGAGCCACTGGCAGCGAGAAGTCTGGTGTGAGCGAAACAATCTGTGAGGATGACGGGATGCCAATCACTAACATCCCTCGAGGTCTTGGACGATGGGCAGAATTTTTCGAAGGGCAGTTCAACTGGCCTGCTGCTCCGGCAACATCGGTCAGACTGTCCTGCCCTCCATGACCGGTGACGACTGATCCACCAAACGAGGAGGAAGTCCACAAGGAACTCCAACTCTTGAATCGTTACAAATCACCTGGCCCAGATGACTTACCTCCGGCTCTTTTTAAAGATGGTGGTGACTTTTTGACTAAGGAATTGACGACGTTGTATACAAAGGTTTGGGAACTAGAGAGTGTACCAACGTCATGGAATGAGTCGATAGTTGTCCCTATCTTTAAAAAGGGTTCACGTCGTTCCTGTAACAACTATCGGGGGATAAGTCTACTTCCGATTGCGTCCAAGCTATTGGCTTCCGTCATACTTCGTAGGTTGTTCAAAACCCGAGAAAGATTGACTCGCGAGGAGCAGGCTGGTTTTCGTTCTGGTCGAGGATGTATTGATCATATCTTCACCCTCCGCCAAATGTTAGAACACCGTCATACTTATCAAAGGCCAACAATCGTAGTGTTTCTTGACATCAGGGTTGCCTTCGATTCGTTGGACAGGACTGTTCTCTGGGATTGTCTGTTGAAGAAGGGTGTGCCTGAGAAGTTTATTAACATCCTAAAAGCCCTATATAAAAACACTTCAGGGGGAGTGAGGGCATACAACCACCTCTCTCCATTGTTATATTCGAGTAATGGGGTTAGGCAGGGTTGCCCAATCTCACCATTCCTCTTCAACTTTGCCATCGATGACATTCTGGAAACAGCTCTGATGAATGTAAGTAATGGTGGTGTGGATCTGTTGCCTGGAGAAAGACTTCTCGACCTTGAGTATGCGGACGATATTGTCTTACTGTGCGATAATGCCCAAGGCATGTAATCCGCACTTAATCAGTTGACAATCAGTGTCCGTAGGTATAGTATGTGGTTTGCACCTTCGAAGTGCAAAGTACTCCTACAAGACTGGCAGGATTCCAATCCTGTACTCACCCTGGATGTTGAGCAGATAGACGTAGTCGAGAAGTTCGTGTATCTGGGTAGCTGCATAAGTGCTGGTGGGGGTGTGAGTGATGAGATCAATGCACGTATAGTGAAAGCCAGAGCGGCTTATGTCAACCTGGGCCATCTTTGGCGCCTTCGTGATGTTAGTCTGGCTGTAAAAGGTCGGATCTACAACGCGTCGGTGAGAGCAGTTTTGCTCTATGCTTGTGAAACCTGGCCTCTCCGAGTTGAGGACATTAGACGACTCTCTGTGTTCGATCATCGCTGTCTCCGAAGGATTGCTGACATCCAGTGGCAACACCATGTCAGTAATGCAGAGGCTCGGCATCGTGTGTTCGGGCGCAGAGACGATAATGGAGTTGGTGTCACCATCTTGAAACACCGACTTCGGTGGCTTGGGCATGTTCTCCGAATGTCGTCTCAGAGAATTCCACGTCGTGCATTATTTGCCGACTCTGGGACTGGTTGGAAGAAGCGGAGAGATGGTCAGTGTATGACATGGTGTCGTGGCATGAAAGAAAGCTGCAAAGGACTGGCTTGTGTTGGTCCTTCACGACTCCCTGGTTGGGGTCTGAGAGATGGTGCTACACAGTGGCTAGAGACGTTATCAGATATGGCTCAGAATAGAAGCCAGTGGCGATCCTGCTGTAACCTTCTTTTACTTTCTTCATAAAAAGTGGTTCTGTCTCCCTTACCTGAAAGATTTCTACCGATTGTACCTTTGCGTTCCCTGATTACTAGCACATTACCTTACACCAATCTCTTCGTTATTGTTCTCTCTTTTTTTTTGTTGCGCTCCTTAGCTTTTTTTTCTTTGTATTCCTCTCGAATTTTCATTGTTTTGTGTGGCGCATATATATTGGCGCTCTCTTGTACCAATATTCATGTGTCCAAATAAATAAATAAGACTTCAATTTGTGGAAGGAATCCAATAATAACCTATAATCTACTTTATCTATTTAAATGGATAGGGTTAATTTGAGTCACGGATCTTGTCGTGTATAAAAGAAATACTTGGGTCACTTTGAAGACAGCTTATGAGAGCATGAACTATAATCACTCTTTGTTAAGTGTTGAATTTGTTCATAAATCTTGGATACTTTACGCTAGTCAATAGGAAATAGGTGGTTCCCATTCAGTTTAGACCATGTACATGACAGAGCTACTAAATCCTGTGTTGAATAACCTAACTATTTATTTGATTTGTTTGCAGAGTATATTTTGTAAAACTTTAGGTTACAAGTCCCAGTGATGATTTGGATGAAACAACCTCGTTCATTTGATAACTAAGTCATAATTTCCCTTCATTTTCAAAGTTATTTCAAAGACAGTGTCATTTAAAGTAACTTTGGATGGTTAAAAGATCAGGATGATAAAAAAACTAAAATTTGCTGAGAAGTAGTAAGACATTTAACAACTGAAACGAATCATTCTTCGAACTGTAGACTATTAGAAATGTTTTCTAAAATTCTCTTATTGTCTCATTCGAAAACCATATCTTTCATTTCTTTTTGTGAATGATATTAAAATGTATAGTGGCCTCAATAAATGTATGGTTATTCTGCACTTTTCCTTAACTGAATTAAGTTCAGTAATGTATCTGTATTTTTACGTAAACTGGTTCAAACATTATAGAAATCGTTATGTTTATAAATATCGTTGATTGACTGCAATTAACCAAATTTGAAGTTCAAAATGATTTTCTGTAGAAACCAAAATACTCATAATGTTGCTTACATTTAGTAATTAATTCATGTTTATGTGGCTGATATCTATTATTTAATCAGGTAAAATGAAATGTCTAAAGCAAATACTATAAAACCTTTAATGTCGCCTTTACTTTGAAACCAATTTGCAGTGCCATTACACAGCCCTCTCCATCTTGTAACTTGGACCAGTTACATTGTCTAAGCATACCTGATGAGAAAGAGCCGACTATTGTATATGAACAATCATGTATCCAATCGTCAACGTACTCTGAAATAAATGCCTCTGATCGGATACATTTTTACTGTAAGTAACTGTTTGACTATTCATGAAATAACAACAGTGAAAACTTACAAATAGAAAAATGTGACAGTTATTTTAACTACTTAGTTTACTTTCAGTACTTTGTGGCGATCAATATAGTTTGAAGATATTTTTCATCTTGAACTGAAAATAGCCACTGCAAACTATGTAACGCTGAACAGCTTTTGCATACTAGTTGGAAAGTTATTCCTGATATTAATTTCTCATCTTTCAAAGCAGACTTAGCTACTATCAAGTAAATTCAGTTTTGTGAACAAAAATGACTACTATTTTTTGACCATATTTCATGAACTTTAAGAGCTGGTTTACAAAGAAAAATATCTCGTTATTCTTGCGATTTTCTTCATATCATCCGCTGGCGTTTTAATCTTACAAATATAACCAAATAATTCAACGACCATTTCGTCTTACAAATGCTTTTATAGCACGTAATGTTTTGGAATTTATTCTGTTCTGTGCTATGATATTGATCAGTTTACCTTTGGATACTAACTGTTTCCCCCTTCCTAACTCTAAAGAAAACAAAAAACTTACGGTCCTATGGCACAAATTTATGCACTTGATAATACACTATGCTTTTCGCGTCGCTGTTATCATTTGACTGTTAGGTCTGTAGTTATTTTCACCTGAAATTCCTTCTTGGTTTTCCAACGTATATATATATATATATATATATATATTTGCAGGTCGAAGTCACATAATTATGAGATTATGGTTTTATTCAATGTTTTAAAATTTTCATTAATGTCTTTCATTTAGTAAAGTTACTACACTTAACATTTTCCTACCTTTTCCTGCCTTTTAGTCCGTGATTTTCTTTTGGGAGGCATACTTTTCAGTTTGCTTTTAGGTAAGTCATTTGTGTGGTAGAAACGAACTGTTTTTTTGTCGAATGCTTTTTGTACGTACATCTGTATGTATACGAAAATAATTAGAGTGGCTATGACTTTCATCTCTCAATTTTATTATCAGATAAACCAATGGAAGTTAACATCAGTAAATACGGTCAACCCGCTGATTACTGTTTTTATTTTCCGACTTGTTGGATGGTTTTACTACGCCATATTATTAAAACAGTGCTTGGTTGTCTTTTTCTCCGATTAGAAGTTAATTCGTTGTAATCGTCTTTAAATATATCAATTTGCTGTTTTTGTCTTTCAGAGTTGTTCTATGATGTGGAAATGGCTTACCAATTCAACCAATGCCACTTACATTGAATTATGTTTTTTAACTGCAGATTTAATATCTACAAGATAGATAAATTTTTCTACAAATGGTATCTACTAGCCTAGCAATCTATCACTATAAAAAACATTACTCTATTGTAATAATAATTTTATGTAAATCAGTTTACTCATTGGTGCTGACCTCAATGACGAGTAGAAAAATCGGAAAAGCAGACTGGTTCAAAAATTCCTTGATGACTAGAGTCAACAGTGCACAAGCTAATAAAAAACTAAAAATACAGTTTTTGAATAGGTGATACTCGACCATTATGTACATTTACTAAGGTAAATGTTTCGTTGACGGCAATATTTTTTTCAAAAGGTAACTGATAAAACTAGACCAATCAACAACAGAATATCAAAAGACGATTCAGTTGATCTTCGTCTGTCTATCATTTCGTTAGACTTTGAATAAAACAATAACCCTTGAAATTTAACTACTGTTGTAAAAAGCTGTTTTCTTGATATCATTCATGTATACAGAGATAAATTGATCTAGAACTTCAACCTACATTCATCCAACCTTCTTATCGTTATGACATACGGCTCACTATTTTTCTTTCTAACAAAAAATAAACAGCAATATTATTTTGATTGTAATGAATTCAAATCAAAATATAAGTTGATTACCACTAGTCGTATATTGAAGTATAATTATGTAATATACAGTTGTATTTTGACTGATAACCGATTAAATTCCTCACTAATAAACAGTCTTTTGTTTCTTTTTCGCAAATATCATATATATATATATATATATATATATATATATATATATATATATATATATATATATATATATATATATCAGGTCACATGCTGTATTCTGAACAATGTTATAAAAGTAAGCAAAAATTCTGTTTACTTTTCTTTGTGTATGACATTTTTTACCAGCTTTTGCATTTTCTTTACTTATTTTACTCTTAAATTGTTTATAAATGATTATATATATACTTCATACGAAAACAGCAGTAGTAGTGTACCAAACGATTAAAAAATTACCCTTTTACGTTTTATCACTATAGGTTAAGAAAAAAAATTACAATAGTTATCTGTCAATTGCACAAGGAAAGTAAAACATAACCAAATGGACAAATTCATACGTCTACATATTCTTTTCTTGCTGTTATATTCCAATATAAAGACTTATTAAGTTCATATAAGATAACAATTAAGTTATTCTAAATTTAAACGACTATAAGTTCCTAACTGTTCTTCAATTTTAACACTATGAATTACACCATTTTCTTATTGAGTTGTTGATTTATCAGTAAATTATTTGGTGGTAGTATTTTCAATAGCCGTGAGGTTAATAAACTGTTTTTAATGAAATAAAATAAACCAAGCTAAATTTATTCCTTTAGATTAGCTTGAACTAAATAAGTAGTTCACTTAACACACTGTCCGCCCCCAAATGCCCTGATATGGCCGAGAGCGGGGTGGGTCTGCCGTCCCTCTCGAAATACTCTCACACGGCCACCAGTATACAGCCTCTGCCAGGGAAGTCCTACTCATTGCCTTCTCGTGGCGGGGGTGTTGTTTACGAAAATGAGAGGACGAAAAGCGAATGTCCGGCGCTTTAACCGGATTCCAAACCAATGGTGCACATGGGCTCCAGTATCCTGCGGGAACAAATGGCGTATGAACCAATCGTTGGTCACCGGCTACCATGGGACTGCATCTCCTTACGATGCTCCACTGTCTTGTGGGTTAGACCTTTAGGTTAAAGGCTCGGGGAGTGGTCCCCTAAGATAACTACCTGCTTCGGTTTGGGCACCCGGGCAGTATCACAGCCCACACACAAACGATGAACTCTATATCTATGGCAACCACTTTTCTCGCTCCGAAAAACAATCAGTCGATTCAAATAATTATCATTACAATTATTGTCATTATTAATACTATTATTATTATTACTATTATTATTATTATTATTATTATTATTATTATTATTATTATTATTATTATTATTATTATTATTATTTTCCACATTATTCACCCTCTTTTATACTTATACAGCGGCTCGTCTTTGGTGGAAATCCGACTGTATCTAAACGTTCTCGAGTCACTGCCCGGTTGAAAATTGTATGTTACCATCGAATATGAGTACTGAAGCAGTTTTTCTGAAACCACGTGCACCATTCAAACTGGCTGCCTTCAACGTTCGCACACTTATGCAGGTTGGTCAACAGATAGGGCTGGCTATGTCTTTGGAAAGCCTTATTATTGATGTTTGTTGTCTATCCGAGACCCGTATTCAAGACTCTGGTGAAGTACTACAAACTCGCTCTACATCTGTCACTTCAAAAGGCTTGTTTTACGTGCGCCTATCCGGGGACCCTGTGGCATCTTTGTCTGATCTTGCTGGCGTTGGTGTCGCACTAAGCGCTAGAGCTGAGGCAGCACTAATCGATTGGATCCCCATTAACAGTCGGTTATGTGCTGTTAGATTAGAAAGTTTCATCAAAATGAGAAGAAATCGGCGTGAGAAACGATGTCTTTTCGTCATCTCCGCCCATGCTCCGACAGATTGCAGCCCGGATGCAATCAAGGATGAGTTTTATCACCAGTTATCTGTTCTTCTTCAGAAAGTGCGTTCGACAGTTATTGTAGTACTAGCCGGAGACTTGGATGCTCAGGTCGCGCGTCTAGGCACAGAAGAGAGTCGTTTAGGTGGCCGATGGGGACTCGTTGGTCGCAGGACAGATAACGGGGACCGTCTACTGCAACTGTGCACAGACCACAACCTGTTTCTGGCTAGCACTAACTTTCGGCACAGTCATCGCCGATGTGCCATCTGGCGTCCTCCCTCTGCATCTCAAGCCTGGACTCAGATTGATCACATCGCGATCAGCTACCGCTGGCGTGGTCGTGTAAAAGACTGCCGCTCCTTTTGGAGTACCTATCTGGACTCTGACCATGCCTTGGTCTGCGCCAATCTTGCCTTACTTTTCAGTGGACAACGAAGTGACCGCCATCAACGGATTGATGTTAGCAAGCTGGTTGCAACTTCTGTTGCAAATAAGTATCGAACCGAGCTAGCTTCTAGGCTAGCTACCATTCCACCGAAAAGTATAGATGAGCATTGGTTGCAATTGCATGACGCCATGAAAATGGCGGGTACAGTCAGTTGTGGGTTCGCGAAACGCCCCACTTATAAGCATTGGGTTTCTTCAGGCTCCTTACAACTCATTGAAGCCCGTCGGTCTACTCCGGGTAACCGTGAGTTTGACCATAAACGAAGGATGTTACGTAAGGAAATTGGGCAAAGCTTGCGTAAGGACCGAGAAGCCTGGTGGTCGAAGCGTGCTAATGAGCTGGAAGCAGCAGCTGCATCTGGTAACTACCGGAAGCTCTTCCAGCTCATCCGAGCCACTGGCAGCGAGAAGTCTGGTGTGAGCGAAACAATCTGTGAGGATGACGGGATGCCAATCACTAACATCCCTCGAGGTCTTGGACGATGGGCAGAATTTTTCGAAGGGCAGTTCAACTGGCCTGCTGCTCCGGCAACATCGGTCAGACTGTCCTGCCCTCCATGACCGGTGACGACTGATCCACCAAACGAGGAGGAAGTCCACAAGGAACTCCAACTCTTGAATCGTTACAAATCACCTGGCCCAGATGACTTACCTCCGGCTCTTTTTAAAGATGGTGGTGACTTTTTGACTAAGGAATTGACGACGTTGTATACAAAGGTTTGGGAACTAGAGAGTGTACCAACGTCATGGAATGAGTCGATAGTTGTCCCTATCTTTAAAAAGGGTTCACGTCGTTCCTGTAACAACTATCGGGGGATAAGTCTACTTCCGATTGCGTCCAAGCTATTGGCTTCCGTCATACTTCGTAGGTTGTTCAAAACCCGAGAAAGATTGACTCGCGAGGAGCAGGCTGGTTTTCGTTCTGGTCGAGGATGTATTGATCATATCTTCACCCTCCGCCAAATGTTAGAACACCGTCATACTTATCAAAGGCCAACAATCGTAGTGTTTCTTGACATCAGGGTTGCCTTCGATTCGTTGGACAGGACTGTTCTCTGGGATTGTCTGTTGAAGAAGGGTGTGCCTGAGAAGTTTATTAACATCCTAAAAGCCCTATATAAAAACACCTCAGGCGGAGGATGTTAGATGACTCACTGTGTTCGATCATCGTTGTCTCCGAAGGATTGCTGACATCCAGTGGCAACACCATGTTAGTAATGCAGAGGTTCGACATCGTGTGTTTGGGCACAGAGACGATAATGCAGTTGGTGTCACCATCCTGAAACACCGACTTCGGTGGCTTGGACATGTTTTACGAATGTCGTCCCAAAGAATTCCACGTCGTGCATTATTTGCCGACGCTGGGAGTGGTTGGGAAAGGCGAAGAGGTGGTCAGTGTATGACATGGTGTCGTGGAATGAAAAAGCTGCAAGGGGCTGGCTTCTGTTGGTCCTTCACGACTCCTCGGCTGGGATCCTGTAGATAGTGCAACACAGTGGCTAGAGACGTTGTCAGATATGACTCAGAATAGAAGCCAGTGGCGATCCTGCTGTAACCTTCTTTTACTTTCTTCATAAAAAAAGTGGTTGTGTCTTCCTTAACTGAAAGATTTCTGATTGTAGCTTTCCGTTCCCCCATTTTTACCATTATTATTATTACACCACCTTACATCAATCTCTTCGTTGTTATTCTCTCTTTTTTTCCTTCCTTTTAAGTTCTCATTGTTTTGTGTGGCGCATATATATTTGGCGCATTCCTGTACCAATATTTATGTGTTCAAATAAATAAATAACACACTGTCCACGATCATCGGTACTAAAACACCTATTTCATTTACTTGTCCGTATTAACCTTAGTTTTTGGATAATTATATAGAAATATTAAAAGAACAGTTATAATAATGGTAGTCTTATATTTAACAGTACAGAACTGATAGAAATTAATCACATATTACAGTGTTTCTGAATAATACTATTACTACTACTAATCTATTTCTTTAAATCAGTAATGTTTTCTGCCATTTATTCAACGGCTCAGTGATCAGTTCATATCACGATAGTAATAATACACCCTATGTATTTTGAAATACTTTCATGCAAAATCAACAGGCTGTGCTAACCTTTCAATGACTCATTTAACCAGTTCATTCAGTTAATATTTGTCAGAATATTCCAATAATACAGTTATCATTCAAGGTAATAAAAAAGATAATAATTATAGCCTTCTATTTTGGTTATTGACGAGTAGTGTAGTTTACATTTATCCGCTTATTACACAAACTTGGTGATAGTTCAAAGTTATTCATAACTGTATAGATAAATCAATTGTCTAGTTCTATTTTAATCTTGCTTTTCATGGATTTATTTCATTTTTTCACTCGTACTCTTTTCAGTCATATTAACATCTTTCTATTTTTGTCGATTTTTCTCTATTTCATAGTCTGTCAATTTTAACCAAGGCACTTTTGTTTCATGATTTGTATGTTGTGTAGCCTAGTGTTTGTATCACTTCAACACATTTAATTTATCTCATTTAACGGTCAACGATTTAATCATTTCCCCCTTTGTATTGTTGTTTTCTTTCAGATAGAATTGCTGGTTGTGAAATTGAACGTGACAAATTATCAGCAAGTAAGCTAATATAAGTTTCATTTGTTTTGTTACACTTGCCATTAGTTTTTGCTTATTTTATCTTAATTAAAAGACGCTTCTAATCCAGTAAACAGTCTATTACACAGCAAATATTCGTTGTGTTCTACCGCACAGATTCAAGGTATTATCTTTAAAAATAAGGGATATATATAAGTTGTAGGTATTTGATTATAAAGCATTGCTTGTATGTGACTAAATTACTGAGTAATCAATGCCAAAGTTAAGTTAAGAACCGTTTTTAAAAACAAAGGTACTTTAATCACCGGTTTCCTTCTGGGCTTCAGAAGTTAAACTGTCGATCATGGCCAACGTAGATCGCGGAATAAATGTGTTTTGACTGACGTTAGCATACCACATTAGTACGGTAAGATCAAAGTAACAAGATAAGAAGTGGAGAAATTTAATTAATAAGGTAGAAACGATGATGTGAAAGAATAAGCATTGAGAATATGATCCTGAAAGATGGTAAAAACGGATATTTGAAAGAACACTCGAATTTAAGGTAAAGAGTGTATGCATCTGCGTTATTATGAATGATTCTCATCCAAACTGTACAATTATTGATCACAATTACCGTGCAGACCCCATTCACGTAGTCTGCATCTACCAACATGGCTCAGGCCAACCGTCATAGGCCTCACGAGCTGATGCCACGTTTCGGTTTGGCCGCTCCAAACTTTCTTCCGACCTACTTCCACAGCAACTAATATCGCACACGTAACACATGTCCAAAACACCTCAGTTGATGGAGATTAACAACCTCACCAACAGATATGCCATCTTTCCCTGGTACCTTATTTCTAGCTTCAACGTCGCTCAGTTGGTTGTCCAACGTTAGATGGGCACTGCTTCGAAAATTTTAACACCTAGCATTTTATCGTATTGAAACGTAAGCTTCCTTCAACCACTCATTCTATATTCTTGTTACATTTTTATTTAACATATATATGTGAGAATTATATGATATCCTGTTTATGAATGGTAGCAGTCATTTAGCTTAATCTAATAATCATGATGTTCTAGAATGCTAAGTCCAACCCAAATGAGGGTATGCACACATAGATATATATCTAACTTTTTTCTTACAAGATTTTATACTTTTATTAGGGATGTTCAGAACCTACTATTTTATAAGTTATCTTAAATGGTTTCGAGTTACTGTTCTACCTTCAAATGTTCTCAGCCATATATATATAGGATAAAGCAAATTTATTTATTTTAAATAGGCTAATAATTTCGTCCAAAATATACCCAAATGAAACAAATCATGATTGTATTCGACTATATATTACTTAATGCAAGCTATGTTTATCCTTCTGGAAAGAATCGATTACATAAACAGATAACCTCATCTTATTAAATATCTACACACGTGAACTTGAATTAATTACCAGATGTGCCTTAATTTAAAGACGAGTAATTTTACCGGTATATATTGTCGACCTTTCAAAGAAATTGTCTTTTATTATCACTGCCTTTCTTTTTTCGATCACTTTTGAATCTTATTTTACGCCCCATTTTCTAGACATTTCTTTTCTATCGACTGAAATTTTACAAAAAGATACAGCATATCGACATCTGGAAATTAAACATAAACACCTTAAAAATGTAACACATCAATTGCATTCAGGTAAGAAGTTTTGTTCTTTTATCATTTATATTGTGTTTGTCTGTTACTAAGAGGAAAATATCAATTTTTCTGTATCTGCTTAAACTGAACCTGGTGTTTTCTTCTGATGATAAATGCTAGTAAGAGAATAGAGATCATCTAGTTACTTTATACATCCGAGAATTTTTATCATATTCCATGGATTGTATGTATACAGTAATAATCAGTTCAAGTTAGTTATGGGGAATTAATTATTTAAAAACTAATGTCCATTAAAAATTGATTACTGCTAAAACTGCAGAGCAGGTAATGTCGAACTATATAAATAAGATATAAGTAACTGTTAGTTTATTATCACAGGTGTAATAGATAAATAGTTGTAAATTTCTAGAAAGGGACTTTCTTCATTCTTCAAGCTGTTGCTGTATGAATCATGATAAGTGTTTTAGTAATTCACAATTTGACTAGTAATAAAACAACAAGATAGGACTTAATTATCGAACACTACTCTGGTTCCCTCAATATTATCCGAACCACAGTATATTATCTACTTGTCAACCTTAATAGTGTCATTAATGTCTAGATAAAAAATGTACATGAACAGTGATAAACCACGTATGGTTGTGCTGACTAACCAGATCGAAGCAATCTTAAAATTGAACAACTCTCTTACTTGTTTAAGGCCAATCTTATCATTTATATACAGAGATTGATTTGTTTCATAGAGCTAAATCGTCCAAATCACTTCATTTGTCCTTAACTACATAAATGGACTGCTAATACAACTATCAAATCTATTGTATTTATATTTCTCTCTATTTAGTTTATTTCATAGTTCAACTTTAAAATTTATTCGATGATTACATTTTTAGCAACGATTGTTAAATTATATAATGCACTTTAAGTGTATAGCTTGTAGGACTTCATTTGCTAATTTGTTTATGTACACTGATATTGTATTCTTTGTATAATGATCTTCAGCTCATGAAGTATGTTCAAATTAACTCTTTATGTAACGAAAGAAATACAGAAGTTTATAATAAAAATTATATAAAAACTTATAACCCCCTCTGAATTGTTCCATCAACCCTAATCGTTCTAACATAAATCAGTCATCATATTTAGACTATGCTCATACCGAGCATACTAGCTAGATCTTTATAAGTCTACGATTCTAATATCTGGTTACGGACCAACAAAGTTAGTTACATTTTAGAAAACTCCTACTCACCATTTACAATTTGCTTTAGTTAGTTTATTTATTTTTATTCATGCAACTGCATGGTTAATGAGCCGCTCGTCAGGTTAGTTTTCATTTCTTCCAAAACTGAGTAGAAAGAAGAGATATAAGGAATGATATGCGAACAATAACAAATGAAAGAGAATTTAATACAAAATAATCAGCCTTTACAAGGTGTATACGAAAGAAAATCACAATCAAACTTATATCAGTTTTGTTCATATCTATTAATAGCTTTGTGTTTGGAAGCAATTTGTTAGGAGTCGAATACTTAATTTCCATATCTGTTTACATTCATGTCCAAACCACCCCAGCAATATTCAAGTAGATTATGCTTCCTCAAAGATTCGAACCTGAATCACTCAGTGTTTCTTCCAGGAAACTCTTTAGTTCGTTTATTTGCTTATAATAACCTCATTTCCATTCATGGTGTATATGTGTTATTGTTTAAAAAAGTTTTATACAAATCAAAGATGCATAGCTTTTGTTCACAATTCCAGATATATCTATACTAACAGCTGAATTACGTGACAAAGCCCTAGCTTACAATGAATTAAAATCAGACTACAAATATGTCAGTGATAAAATGAAAGAGTTAACCAGTGGTAAATTAACTTTATTTTAATTTCCTTTATATAATTCCATTATTTTTTGATACCTTATTACTCTTTGCGTTGTACAACGTATTGAAAATGCCACACAATAACGAACTATATATATCTTAACAGTAGAGCAGTGATTCAGTGAGTTATATAAGCAGACTGTTCATGTACATGTTTTATCTAGCCCTCAAATGCCCTGGTACAGCCGAGGGTGGGGAGAGTCAGCTCTCCTTCTCCAAATGCTCTCACATGCTCACGCTTATACAGCCACTGTCCGGCTAGTTCTACTCACCGCCTTCTTGCGGCGGGGTTGTTGTTTACGAAATTGAGGGGACGAAAAGCGGATGTCTGGCGCTTTAACCGGGCTGGTACACATGGACAGTCTACCTAGGGAAGTTGGAAAACCCTGATTACAAACCATTGACGCACATGATGTTACGTCCAAGTTTTTGCTCGTTCCCGTTATTGAAGTACGGTATATCGATCTATTTGCAACTTACGAACCCAAATTAACAACAGAACCAAACTCCAATTCAGGTACCAAAGTTTATTCGCAATTTACAAATAGTCGACCCAAATGTCGTTCTCCAATTTTGTACGTTCCCCGAGCAAAAACTCCCAAATACCAAACCAAAGACAAAAGAAACCAAAATGTCCGAAAATAATGATATAAACAAACAAGTTCAGAAGTTGAGTAGAACAAATACATCCGAAAACACAGTGAAACTAATAATATTTAATATAAAGGTTTTAATCAGCCAAATGTCTTCAGTTCTCCCGTAACATATGGGCTCCAGGATCCTGAAGGAAAAATGGCGTATAAACCAATCGTTGGTGATAGGCTACCATGGGACCGCATCTCCTGACGTCGCTCCACTGCCTTGTGGATCAGACCTTTAGATCGAAGGCTCGGGGTGTGGCTTCCTATGCAAACCATCTGCTTCGGTCTGTGCACCTGTGCAGTATCCTAGCCCTCACGCAAATCGAATGATTTATGTGGCGCATATGTATTCAATGCCCCTTTGTACTAATATTTATGTGTTCAAATAAATAAATAAGCAGTCAACCTTAAGCCAATCTTTCATAGCTCACCAACCACCTTAACTGTTTTATTCTGGCCTCATACTTATATTTAGTCCTTAAGTCATGATAAAACAGACTATTGGTCATAGTTTAATGTTAAAGAAGGTATAGAATTTATTATGCTTTTTTTTCGAATTTGATATTTATCGAACATATTTCTGATAAATAATCGCTTGCCACTTAATCGTTTTCTAGGACTTTTGATGTATCTGAAAATCTATTGATCCTGAGATAAAATTGTAGGTATTTCATCGAAGACGTAAACAAATAAATCCATATTTAAATAAGAAAGATAGATTGGTTCAGCGAAGAGTTCTCTTTTCGGCGAATTCATTTTCAAAGCTGTACAATCGTAAATATATATACTTATTTTTACAGGGTGATAATAATACTGATAATAAACTTCTGTTATACATGGTGAGAGTGAGGTTAAATAAACAAAGGTATTTATTTAACCTCACTCTCACCATGTATAACAGAAGTTTATTATCAGTATTATTATCACCCTGTAAAAATAAGTATATATATTTGCGATTGTACAGCTTTGAAAATGAATTCGCCGAAAAGAGAACTCTTCGCTGAACCAATCTTTCTTTCTTATTTAATGTCATAATGGGTGTATTCCGTTTATAAAAAAATCCATATTTAACATTGAATATGGTCATCAGTACGATCTTGCTAGTCGATCGTGCCTAGAATGTTTGGATGGTAGCTGAAGTTGAACTATGATTAAAGGTTTACATGTTTCAAATGTATTATGGGTTGAATAACTAAATTTTCAATATCATCTAACAATGAGGCTTAATTGCTCAATACTAACAGTTTTTTCGCATTCATTAGCTACTCATTGTCTTTGTTTTCTAAAATTTAATTCATTTGTATCAGTCATGATTATGATGAAGATGGAAGTAATATGATATTTGCACGTATTTGTAACTTCAGTGAAACAATAAAATCCCTAAACTTTTTAGCTTAGCCTCCATGTATTTGGTCGCGTAATTGTATATTCCCTTGATGATAAAATGATACTTCAGTTTTGTAGAGATCACATCACTTTCTAAGGTGTTCATCGTAGATTTTTGCTCCACTGTAAACTGTTTGTTTATAGGCATTTCCACAATTTCTTGTTGAATCCAATCGAAATTCTTTTTTGAATCTCTATTTTTCTTACATATTCTTCGGTATGTATTCAAGCCAATACGTGATCCTTGATTTATCACTTGACATGTCTTATAAAGTATACGGTTGACCTAGGAGAAATACGTACTTTTTCAGTAACATGATATACTAGCCCTTTTATTCCGTAAAACTGCTTTTTATGGTGTTGAGGCTAATTTCTCTCTATTTGGCTACAATATTTCATATCCCGTTAACGGAATATTTTAGCAGGCCAAATCTTCTAGTAGTATTATGAGTTTACTCGAAAATATTCAAAAGCCAGAAAACCGGTTTTTGGGACAGTGTGTTAATGAATTAATCAATTAATGAAACCCGCAAGTACACGGGGAATCGATCGAGTTAAAAAATCCATATATATTTATGAGTGTTAATCGATTGTGGAGCTAAGTTATTGATCGTCTATGTAAACAACCAATGGGAGGATAGATAAAGAATGAGGTGCAGATATGCGTTCAATCAGACTCACACATACTTTTACATAGTGGGTTACCTGTCTAAATTACATCAGCTAGGTAATAAAAACTTCGAAGGGCTTGCTATAATGCCACCTATAACTTGCATCTATTTTTCTTACTGCAAATTATTTTGCGTATGTTACATTTTTATCATTCTCTTAGACTATTTCTATCACTTTTAAATCCTGATCTTTCATCAGAAATGTGTCTGTGGCAGTCTAAACATTCAATTACATAGAGCTGTTAAGATATTTTTGTTCAAAAGCAGATACCTTTCACCTATTATGACTTTGCTGAATGTATATTTTAATATTACTGTGTTTTCTGTCGGTTTCATCTTTTTGTATACTGCTGCGAAGCGGCAGCCCAGTGGTTAATGCGTCCCACTTTCGCCCACTAAATCTCAGATTCTTATCCCGCTCTATCTACTTCAGTATGATCAAACAGTATCGCTTGCCCTCACACTTAGAGTGTGGGTTAAAGTCTAGTAAACGAATCTGTAACTGGTAGATAATTTGTAAGGTGTAATAACTTGAGGTAGCACACAATTTTAGCTAGGTTCTACACTTATCTATTCTTGCTACAAGCATTTCTACTAGGAAAAGTGCAATAGGACAACTTACATCGTCAGTTCGTTTTGCATTTACAGTGAGTCATCTTTCCTGTCTTTTCACTTTATTGTAAATGTTATTTACGCAATTTTAAAATTACTATTCATTAGTTATCCTTTCTGCTTCCTCTCTTAACCATCAAAATAACTCATCTCTTATTTTATTTTGCATAGAATTGCGAAAATTGAAATTTGCGCTTATGGATTTGAAACGCTCTTCGCTATTTTTTCCCGGTATCAGATTGGTCAAAGATATCTTGTGTAAAATTTTAAGCGTTTGCCCTGATCTAGATGGAGAGTAGACAAATAAATGGACTAAAAGTGAGCCATGTCTTCGGGACAGAATAAAGGATAATATATATTTCTTTTCTCAGTTAATGTTTTCGTCATATTTCTTTATCTTGTTAAGTTTTATTTTGCGTAATTTTGGCGTTTCGTCTAAAATCTCTTTTATCTTACAGCTGCTAATGTAAACATTTATACCAAAAGATTATTTATAATTTATCTTCATTATATACTTCATTTTGAGAATCTTCCTTCAAGTCATTACGTCACAGTTTAAACAGTATCATATAAACTATAACACAAATAGTCCGAAGTAAATTCATACAAAAATAGAGTGAAGTCTCGATTTATTTGGTTCTTCTCCAATAAATAAATAATGTACCATTATGGTTCTCTTGTTTACGACATATATTTCAATTATTTGGTTCTGATATAGTTTGATTTTAACCAATTTGGAGAAATTAGAGCCGTATCTATAAGATAAATCTTTATTATGAAGTGTCGGAACTTATTCGGAAATTCTTAAACAATTGTTTTCTGAAATTCGTTATTTGAAAATTTACCGAATACCTATTCTTTAGTTTGAAATCAGTGATAGGTAGTTAATTAGTTGAACGCTTTGAACACTTGATCTATCTCGGAAGTCGCATTAGTTTCGATAGTTGGGTGTCTAACGAGATCTTGCCATAGGTCCGAAATGCTCGCTTGGCTTTTGCGAAATCTTGTCACTTGTGGAGTAAGCGAGGCGCCCATTTGCCAATCAAAAGTCGATTATACTTAGCATCGCTTTTCTCTGTATTACTCGATAGCTTTGAAACATGGTCTGTGAGAGTAGAAGACACATGTGCGCTGCAATATTTTTGGTTATATGTGTCTTCAAAGCATTGATCCGCGTATCATGGAACGACCAAGCGAAAAATGTTGGGGTTAGACATAGATTACTAGCCAAATACACCAAGAAGGTTTATGAGTTTAGCAATATTCATTAATTTGGACGGTTAAGACATGTGTTACGTATGGATAAACACAGCCTACTTCGGTGAGAGATGCTGGCTACTGTAGAAGTACGTTGGAAGCTAGGAGAGAATAAAATAAAACGTGACATCAGTACATAAAGCTACCGACTGTTAGTCTGAGCCACGACCGTTTTGCTACCTTGACGTGGTGGTCGGGCTTGCCTATCGTGATGAAGCAACCGAGCTATACTGGCTGGAACAACCGTTCCTCAAGGTCCTACCATGTCAGACAGGTCGGTTGAAGACTGAAAGCAACAAACCCAAGGTCCGAAGGCGAAGTCGTATTGCTGACTGTACAGAGGTGTGACAGCAGTAAGGTGTTTCCTTCAGACAACCAGCATGACAGCGATGCTGCCCTCCCACAAGGAGGGGTGGGGTTAGAAAAGGTTGACCCTAAAAATGCACTTCTCGCCTTATCCCACGGATATCCGTCTCCGGCGGTAAGGTCTCAACAAGTACGGAGCTAACACAAAAACTCCCCATAGAAAGGCCGTGTGTAACCGACCTCAAGCAGTTGTCCCTTGAGCACTGCGTCACGCTATCAGGTCACTAAGACCACCTTTAATCCAATTTCCTTTTCAGGTACCTCCAGAACAACCCTTCCACGGTGTGGGCAACCGGAAAGTGATAACCGCCCTCATACCTCTAACAGCACTCAAGACCACTGTATTCATAATCAACTTCCGTCTTCACTTCCTCTTATTCCTTCTACATCGACTTTCACCTCTAAAATTCCTTTTTCGGCTTCCCCCTCAAGTGTCACCATAGCCAACGATTCTAGTGCTCAAAACATTCTCCCAGTTCTACTGAAACCTCGCTCCAAACTACACGTTGGAGCCTTCAACGTACGCACCCTATGTCAAGTCGGTCAACAGGCTTCCTTGGCTAGAACCCTAGAATCTCGTACCATTGATGTATGCTGTGTCTCTGAAACACGCATACAGGATTCCAGTGTGGTCATTCACTTGACCTCACCTCGGCAAAACGGAGAGCCAACGAGACACACCCTCTTTGTATCTGGTGACCCGACGACCAGCCCTCGTGGACTGGCAGGAGTAGGGATAGCACTAAGCATGAGGGCGGAACAAGCACTGTTAGAGTGGATCCCCGTCAACAGTCGTTTATGTGCTGTTAGGCTAAACGGCTCCGTAAGAACTCGGAAGGATAGGGACACATGTCGTTGCCTTTTTGTCGTTTCTGCCTACGCTCCCACTGACTGCAGCTCGGATGAAATGAAAGATGAATTTTACAGAAAGCTATCTAAACTTCTGCGGAAAGCTAGACATTCAGACATAGTACTCGTAGTAGGTGACTTTAATGCCCAGATAGGTAGCTTAAACCAAACAGAAAGGCATTTAGGTGGGCATTTTAGTATTCCGGCTCAGCGAACAGATAATGGTGATCGTCTGCTGCAACTGTGCTCAGACAATCGTTTATTTTTAGCAAACACAAATTTTAAGCACAAGGAGAGACATCGTCTAACATGGCGACCCCCTACACCAAACCAACGATGGACTCAAATAGACCATATTGCCATCAGTCATCGTTGGAGAGGGTCGGTAGAAGATTGTCGCTTATTCTGGAGTACCTGCTTGGACTCCGACCACGCCCTAATACGGACACGCATCTGCTTGCGCCTCACTGGACGCAAAAAAGCCACAGTAAAAAGACCCATTAGAACTGAATTGAGTAGCGAGAAAACCAAAAGTAGGTTCCAGGAAAAACTGAGGTCACAATTAGATAGTTCTGAAAACGAGGTTGACCCAGTTGTTGCTTGGAAAGCCATACAAACAGCTGTGGAAACAGCAGTGACATCTATCAGTGATTTAAACCACAAGGTTACAAAGAACCAATGGATTTCCTCTAGGTCTATTGCACTGATGGATTCTCGTAAACTCATCCCATCAGGCTCTGAACACGATGAGGAGCGACAACAAATCAGATCTAGGTTAAGAAAAAGTCTAAGGAACGACCGTGAGCAGTGGTGGGCAACGAAAGCAAAAGAGATGGAAAAGGCGGCGACTATAGGGAACACAAGACAGCTTTACAGACTAATAAAAGAAACTGGAATTAATAAGTCAAGTGTAAGTGAGATTATATCGGAAAAAGACGACACACTCATCTGCTCTCAGTCCAGACGTTTAGAACGATGGGCGGAACATTTCAGAGAACAGTTCAGCTGGCCTTCAGCTACTCTACAACTACCCTCCATTCCCAGACAGTGTGAATGGAACATTGAAATAGGTCCCCAACTCTTGCTGAAGTTCAAAAGGCTATAGTTAATCTGAAACGAGGAAGGGCAGATGGATTGGCTCCAGAGGTCTTTAAGGATGGTGGTCCAATTTTAGCGATTAAGTTTACTAATATTTTAGCTAAGATCTGGGAATTAGACTTTATCCCAACTGACTGGTCGCAATCACTTATCGTCCCAATATATAAGAAAGAGTCAAAATCATCCTGTGACAACCATAGAAGGATTAGTTTAACTAATATAGTATCTAAAATACTAGCCTCGATAATTATCAGACGCCTAACTAAGACTCGTGAACTGCAAACACGAGAGAATCAAGCTGGCTTCAGACCTGGTCGTGGCTGCATCGACCACATATTCACCATTCGTCAGGTTCTAGAACATAGGCATACTTATCGGCGTCCCACAATGGTGGTCTTTCTTGACTTAAGAGCAGCATTTGACTCCGTAAACCGTGAGATCCTGTGGCAGTGTCTGTCATTGAAAGGCGTACCCCAGAAGTACATAAACCTTGTAAAGGCTCTTTACTCGAACACTACTAGTCGAGTCAGAGCTTATGGCGAACTGTCATCTGCTTTTGCAACCTCAAGTGTCCGTCAAGGCTGTCCACTTTCTCCATTTTTGTTTAACTTCATCATAGACCTACTGATGGAAATAACATTCTCGGGTATTGATCTCCTTCCAGGAGGTCCACTTATCGACTTAGAATACGCAGATGACATAGTCCTGTTTGGTGAAGACGCTGATAGAATGCAGTCTTTGGTATCACGAAGCAACAATGCCAGAATGTTTGGAATGCGCTTCTCTCCCTCTACATGCAAGTTGTTGCTTCAGGACTGGTCTCCGTCAACACCTGAACTAAGGATAGGGAGTGAAGTGGTCGAAGACGTCGACAACTTCACTTATCTTGGAAGTCTGATCAGCCCTAATGGGTTGGTGTCTGACGAAATCTCAGCACGGATTCGAAAAGCTCGTTTGGCTTTTGCCAACTTACGTCACCTTTGGCGAAGGCGAGATATCTGTCTATCAATAAAAGGACGAGTATACTGCGCGGCAGTTCGTTCTGTTTTAATTTACGGCAGCGAAACATGGCCCTTAAGAGTAGAAGACACCCGTAAGCTACTAGTATTTGACCACAGCTGCCTTAGAAATATTGCTGGCATCTGCTGGGATCACCGGGTAAGTAATAGTGAGGTTAGACGCAGGGTATTAGGGAATGATGGTAAATCAGTTGATGAGGATGCGAATCTTCATCGACTGAGATGGTTGGGCCACGTGTTACGTATGCCCGAACACCGATTACCACGAAATCCAATGCTAATCGGTGTTCGGGATGGTTGGAAGAAAGTTAGGGGCGGCCAAACCAAAACGTGGCATCAGTGCTTGAAGCCACTAACTTCTGGTCTGAGCCATGTTGGTAGATGCAGACTACTTGGTTGGGGTCCGCGTGACTATCGTAACCAATGGTTGGAGACTCTTGGTGACATGGCTCAGAATCGATCACAATGGCGTCGGTGTATACACTCTCTGTCTTCCCTTAAACCAAGAGATTAAAATCGCCTCATATTTCTTTCTATGAACTAATTCTTTCTTCCTGTACTATATCCTTATATGCAATCTTTCTTTTATATATTACCACCTCTGAATTAACTACCTTTATGAATCCGGTGTCCATCTTGTTGTGTTGATGAGGTATGGCAACTTGGACCGATGCATATATGTGCCTGGTCCTATGTTGTAGCTGATTGATTGGTTGGGGTGCGCACGATAAGTAGTTGGAAACGTTGGGTGACATTTCAAATCCGGTCACAATGACACACACGCACTCTTTATCTTACTCTAGATCTTCAGTCTCAATATTCCTTCACATATTGTACCTTTGCATTTCTTCAAACCTCACTCTGGCTATTCTGTAGTTACCCATAGTTCGTAATTATTTGTGTCTGATATATCCAGAAATCTTCAACTGTGCTCCACATATGCGACGTTTCGTGCAGCATGATATTGGCATTGTCTCTGCATAAATGTAAATCAGTCTGATTTTACAAACTTAGGCTTTCTTAATATTTGTAATTTCAATCTACCTTTTTCGTATTGAATTTTAAAGGTTACTAAGTGAGGAAAACTAACTTTCACACATGAAATCTTAGAGATTAAACGCTTTGTAAGTGACATTCATGCAACATTGTCCTAAATAGTTGCTATGATATCCGTTTACGGTATTCGGAACGATTACG